AAATAAAATGTAACACAAAGGACCGGAAGCTTACAAGGTCGTGTTCTTATGTTGGTAGTGCCCTGGGTATTACATTTTTTGTTTCTGAAGAAGATATAGTTGTAGTTTTCCCAAGGAAGATTAAGTGGGATTTTTGGAGATGATTTTATGACCTTTAAGAAGGGATGAAGGTGTTGGCAGCGGGCACTAAAACTCACTGTGATGGTGCCTGGACAAACTGACTCTGTCTATATGACACCAAACATCTGGGTGAAGATGGAAAAAACAGTGAAAAACGTTGATGTTTTGTTTACTTGACACCATACATCTGGATCGTCAGAAACATCTGCATCTTTTACCTCCCCGCTCTCGAGGTTTCAGCCGGATATTTGGCATCATGTGTAGAAAAGTAAAAAAGAAAATTTACTACCAATATGACTTAATCAGCCCAAAATAATGCCTTCAATTAATCTGCAGCTATGAACTAATTATTTTATTTAAATAATGAAATAAATTGATAAATAAAAACAGAAATAAAGATGTCATTAGGCGACTTAAGACCGCAACCGCTTTGAAGTATATTTCAATTGTGGTCATAGTTTACTGACATTAATTCTTTTTACCCCAAACCTTTTTAGTTCATCAGACAAAGCTCAGTCCTGGGGAATGATTTCCCCACATAGAAGGAGGATTCATTAGCTTATAATGTGTTTTGACAATAGAGAAATTTGGTAAACACTTCATAGCATGTAAGCTACATCTAGTAATAGATGTTTTCTTTGCCAAGTGAATTATCTGGCTGATAAAATCAGTGTAAACCCACTCTCTAAGCAGCCTCCTGACATGCCCGAGGCTGACCCCTGAAGAGGAATCAACTTAAACCTGACTTCAAAGCCTTCATCTCAAGGAAAAGCACCCGATGTGATGGATATTTTTGTGTGTGATCTCATCTAAAAAAGTTATCATAATTATTGAACATTTCCTCTGTAGCTTTTTCTCAATTCAATCAGTTATAATGAAAATAGTCTGCTTGCTTTTTACGTTCTCAAGTTTTCAAAATGACTCGTGCTTCCTTGAGCTATCCATTAATTGGACACACAGCCCAGATGAAAAGGCTTAAGCCCCAGAGTATATAAAAAAAAATAAGGGTGTTGCAATTTAAGTGCCTTCAAAAGATCTAATTTGATTTTTAAAAGCAATCCGGCATATGTGAAAATTAAAGGCACGCAGAAACAAGAGATAGTTTAATGAATGTAGGGTTAAGATACATTTAGAGGTTTCAGTAGCCTTACCCCTGTATATATTTTTCTTTCATTGAGCTTTTTGGTTGGGGGAGTGGTATTCACCACATGGTGAAACTAGCTGGATTCTGTGGATTGCTACTTCCTGTATAGAATTGCCCCATTTTCTTCCCTGACATGAAACAACCTGTTATTTCTGTGACAAATATTCTATCACAATATCAGTCTATTAGATTTCAAATTCCAATGAACTTCGAGCCTCTCTGTTTGTCTCAGATGTTGCATTGTGAGCCTATCGTCTCTCGCCCTGAACAAATTGTACACTTATTCACACTTAAAAGAGGGGGGTGTTGGGGAAGAAGAAAGCCATCCCCCTGGCTCAAATGGCATCTTCAGTCATTAATGAGTTAATAAAAATCTCAAAGGCATCTAGAGCTAGATAAGGAGGAAGAAAGAAAAGTATTGTACTGTAATGACAGGCTCCCTGGCTGCCCTCTGAGATGTCATGGGTCAGTCATGTTAAGAATGTGTGCGTCCAATCATCTGCTGATTTTTATCAGCCAGCCCTCCAGCAGGAGCTGACAAGAGCCAGTTGGGGAGTCACCATGAATAAACAATGACTTTTTGGATTGTTAGGGATTCTGTAATAGAGTGAGGGGTTTATATAGACTAAAACATGATGACATTAGCAATCAATATACCAATTACTGGACAAGTTATTGGGAGAGGCATTCACATGTCTCTGTCCTTCCTGCACGTTTGAAGTGGCCTCAAACGGGGAGAGTCCCTGTGCTCAGGCAGGAGACCAAGACCCGAGACTCTGATCTAAGAAGAAAGTCCTCCTTCTCTGGATGAAGCAGTCCAGACCTGAATGTTTTGAATTGCCTGGGGAGGTTATTAAAAATACAGATTCCTGAGGCGCCTGCCTAGTGATTCCATCTCAGAAGCCTGGGGTATGGCGAGGTCTTTTAAACCAAATGTTTCGGATGACTGCGACTGGACAGGTTAGCATTATTTGTGCACTTGGTAGAAATGCAAATTCTTAGGCCTCTCCTCAAACCAACTGATATAGAAACTCAGAGTGGGGCTCAGCAATTTGTGTGTTAGCACAGGCTCAGAGTGATTCTGTAGCCCTGGTGGCAAAGTGGGTTAGGCATTGAACTATGAACCACAAGGTCTGTAGTTTGAGCCTACTAGCAGTGCTGTGGGAGAAAGATGAGGCTGTCCACTTCTGTAAAGATTTCCAGTCTAGGGAAAGGAAATATTCTACTCTGTTCTATAGGGTCACTGCGCTTCAGAATCAAGCACTGGCAGTGGGTTATTTTCCCCCAATGGATTGAATTTATTAGAGTGTTGCGCAATCACCACAACAAATTTTAGAACATTTTCTTTATTCTTGTACTCATTATTATCAGCTCCCCATTTCCCCCCAACATCTGCTATAACATTAAGAAACTATTAATCCAGTTGTTTCTACACATTTATCTATCCAGGTTTTCATAAAAAAAAATATACAATGGGCCCCCACAACAATGACAAAATAAAACCCAGGAAAACCTCAATCTAAAAGAAAGCAGAGAATAATAAAAACTGAAACAAATAAAAAAATGAGTCAGAAAGAAAAACAAATGATAAGATGTGAAAATTTAACTGAACTTTATCTGCATTGATTCACTTTCTAATGCACTCTGCCTGAGGGCAAGGCTATTCACATCTCTGGTCAATGGTCCAGGGGAATTCAATGGGGGGCTTAATCCCCCATTGTGGGAATGTTGGCTTTTCACCATCACCCGTAGCCTTCTGCAAACCCGGTACTCCAATTTTACGTCTACTATAATTCCCTCCTCTGATCAAGGATTTTATTATTTATAATCCTTGGATCATGCAGGCTGGTGTGCTTCTTCCCTATGAGTATGGCTGGCCTCTCACTTGGATGACTGCTTGCTTTAAGACACGCTTTTAAGACCCAGACACTATTCTTTCCAGTAACTGGGCACCATCCGCTTTCTTCACCACACTTTCCTATAACACCTATATAGGCAGTGTTCCCTTCAGGAGGGTGAGTATGGAGCAGGACTACATCATAAGAACTCATTTTTCTTATATCTATCTATATATATAAGGTTTAGAGATATCCCTCTTTGACTTTAGTGGCAGCATTGTCATCTTTTTGAACGCTAAATAACTTCTATTGCACTTTTAGAAATTCTAATGATTCTAATGATAGTATCATCAAACTAGCCAATGGTATAGGATTTAAAATACTATTGAAATAAGGGGGATATACATCTATGGGAAACCTTTTTAGACTAAGACACACATGGTGTTCAAAAATACATATAATTAATCCTATTTAAGAAAGCAAGGAAGGTTAGATACAGGGACAAAGTTCACTAACACTCATTCATTAATGGCAGAACTATGTCTGCAGAACTAAGACATGTCTTTTAAAGCTAAGAAAACATGAAAATATCAACCATATGGTAGCCGTAAGTTGCCCATTATTGTACAACCTCAAAAGCAAAAGGTTTGGACCCAAATTCAATGACTTCCAAATCCATGACCTTCAGGTAGCAGCCCTTTTCTGTCATAGGGTAGGACAGCTTTAAGTTCAAAAGAACCTAGCAGTTCCTTTAATCTGCAGCAAGTGTGTTTTGGGTAAAATTTGGCTCACTTAGTGGGTTTTTGACTCTCCTCCTTCTGATGTGGGCTATGTAGTATGCTGTATACCTTGAGAAGACAAAACCTAAAGTCAAGGTAGCCTATAGTACGGGGCCTGGATCACCAAGGGCTGGAAGGGAATTCAGTTAAAAATGCATAATTAGCCAGAGAGCACCGTGTGGATTCTCCCCCTGGGGAGTCCATAACAACCGTGTCCAGTGTTTCCCCCAAGGGCAAGCTGCCCTTCTCTCTTTCTTTATCTACTATCAGAAATGAGATCATCCTCTTAGAGGAAGACATCCGCCACTTCTCTTGGCCATGAATCTCCACCAGCGCGTACTGAACACAATGTCCACTCCCTTACCCCACTAAGGAGAAACGGACCCAAGCTGAGGTGAGGCCTCCCCTGGAGAATCCTTATGATGCACAAGTAAACATATAACCCCTTTCCCCTAAAACTCATTGCATCAAGTTGATTTTGGCTCATAGTAACCCTATTGGACAAGGTAGTGGGTTACAAACATTAGACATACCACCCCGTTGCCTGGGAGGTATGTCTGGGAATGACTGTCTGACTTGTGGATCGCTGCCGGTCTTTCTCTTGGTGTTTGTCCTTAGAGTTGTAGGCTCATGCATCGGTTGTCTTTGTGTGATTGACTAACTTCACTCAGTGTCACATTCTACAGTTCTAAGCATGGCAAGAGGTGCTTCGTGGTTTGATCATTGTACTTTAGCAGTGCATAGTATTCCATCATGTGTATGTACCAAAGTTTTGTTTGTCCATTCTCCTTCTGATGGGTTTTGGGCTATTTCAATTTTGTGCTGTCGTGAACAGTGCTGCTATGAACAGGGGAGTGCCTCGGTCCATTCCTGCTATGTCTCCCACTTTTTAGGATAGATATCCAGCCTAGGCATTATGGAATTGGATGGCATTTCCATTCCCAGTTGTTTGAGGTAACATCATATCACTTTCCATAATGGTTGTACATGCTTACCGACCCACCAGCAGTATGAGAATTCCAGTCTCTCCACACCTTCAGCAGGACTTGTTGTTTTCTGTTTCTTTGAATTGCACTATCATTGTTGATTTTATTGTTGTTGTTTTTTGTTTACTTTCAGCGTGATTCCGATGCATGCTGGAGTTTGAGAACTATTGCGACGGAGTAAAGATCCTTGTCAAAGAGTTGCAACAGAGAGGCATCGTTCACCAGTTCCGAGACTCCTCATGGGTAATACTTTACTAGAACTAGTTACAGTGGTGAAGTTGGCAGATTATTGACATGCAAAAATTAAATTAGAGGAAATTCAAGATTATCTGTACAATCACAGCATCTCATTCACTTGTACACTACTGGATCTTCTTAAATGACCTTGGTGTGTGACTGACACTGATTAGAAAGGAAGAGTAAATCTAGCCTCAGTTTATTATCTAAAAATCAAAAGGGAGAGATATTTTTAAGAAATCTTTTTAAAAAAAGAGAAAAGAATCAATGTATGCGAAGCATTTACTAATCTGGAACCAATATGCATTGTGGCATTGTCATTTTTGAAGTCTATGTAGGTTCTTATGTAGAATACCAAGGTTTGATTTTTAACCTTTTAAGCAGTCACAGAACATTCAACTTGTCAAAGTTAGCACAGGAGAACATTTATGGCCCGAGTCTGCACCTCACCAGAGAGATGCCAAAGTCTTTCTTGGCTTAGCTTTAAGACTCGCCTTACTCCTTGGCTCTAAGCAACAATAAAAAAACAAACAAAACATTTTTGGTGTAAAGAGAGAAGACCGAGTTAAATGGGGTTAAATAAGATTCTATGTAGCAGTACTTCCAGAAGGCCTCTAACACATTCATATGCACTGTGAATCTCCAAAAGAGCCCTGGTTGTGAGGTGGTTACTCGTTCAACTGCTAACTGCAAGGTCAGCGGTTCAAAACCACCAGCCACTCTGAGGGAAAAAGATAAGACTTTCTACTTCCATAAAGAGTGACAGCCTGGGGACTCCCCTGGGCAGTTCTGTCCTATTCTGTAGGGTTGTTATGAGTTGGAATGGACTTGACGAATCTCCAGGAGAAGGGTTACTCAATGGATTTGACCACCCAACCCCTTTTAGAAATGAAAATCTCACAAAATTAGTGTTCTGGGGAATAAAATCCAAGAAACATGGAGTCAGTTATTATAAGAAAGCCAACACTTATGGGGAAAATGTATGTTCTGTGTGTTGTACTGTAAACCACGTTTTTGTTTTAACGTATTAAACTCTTTATGTCTGGAGTCTGGATTAATTATGTGGTGGTTTGATGGCTACAAGAGGGTTCATATATCCATCCTCAACGAGTTTAATAATAGCTGTTGATCATCCAGTTATATCATCCCTGAAGTGTTGGCAAGTTTCCAAGAACAGGGACTTATTAAAAAACAAACAGACAAACAAAAACTTGAATCTTACTGGTTAAATTACATTACATTTTCACAAGTGAGGGGCAGTTCTAATGCAAACTCTTATCCATACCCAGAAAGATCAGGTAAAAGTAGGTGTGCAGTTAGGCTGACCCTGACTTTAGAAAATATCTCTGCCTCTCTTTCCTATTGTGCTAGTCTGGGTAGACTAGAGAAATAAATTCATGGATGCTGATATGCGTATAAGAAAGAGCGTTATATACAAGAGCAATTGAATATTGAGAAAACATCCCAGCCCTGTCCAGATCAAGTCCATAAGTCCAATATTAGCCCATCTGTCTGGTACCAATCTATCAATTCCTCTTCAGACTCATGAAACACATGCAGTGATGCCGAATGCCGGATCACAGGCCAATGGGTGGGAAGTCTTGTGGATCCAGTGGTGTTGTAAGCGTCTCAGCTCTGGCAGGGGTCTCCACATGGCTCCTTCAGCTCCATGGCGCAAGTGTAACTCTGTGTGTCTTGTCCCCAGGAATGTCTCACAGGAAGTCAGCATGTGTCCTGCCTCCAGTGAGCTATTTATCTCGGTTGTGCCTCCAAATGAGGTCATCAAGCTCCGACCTGATTGACAGGCCAGATTCCACCCCTTGATTCTTGAGTCTCAAATTGACAGCAGATTATGTAACTACCACAACTGTATTGCCCAGATTATTTCCATTTCACTGGGTTCCAGTGACCTGTAGCCAGTCAGGCCACCTTTGTTCCCCACACTGGCTCTTTGTGAAAGTGATCAAGGTTGGTGCATCGCAGAGGTAAGGGTAGTAGGAATTTTAAGCACATTGTTGGTTGTAAAAACCCTTTTCTTGCAGTTTCTGTCAGAGTTGTGTGTTAATGCCAAATGCTAATTCTTGCTGGGGACATGATGTCTTATAAATGCTCTGAAAGAATCTCATTTTCCCCATAGAAGTGAAGGTACTTTTAAGGCCATGTTAAGAATGGTATTCCTTTCACGTGACATCTACAGGTCATGTCCTTGCCTATAAATTGTTTCTTTGCTAAAATCTCCACCCCCACCCCAATTGTTATACAATAGAAGACTGTCTCAGAATAGAACTCAAATGACATTTGAACAATGTGTTAAGATTAAAAACAAACAAACAAGAAAAAAATAAAGCAAGCTTTCCAGCAGCGCTAATATTTGTCATCTTTTCTGGATTGTTCTTACAAGTCTACACAAGACTCACAACTCATGAGAATGCATCTGCAAACTAAAAATAATAGAGAAAATTCAGCTTCGGGAGGTCTTAAAAAACTTTATTTCATCTCCTTTGTAAAAATATCCCCGTTGACACCACATGTGTTCCCCAGCTTTCAAGACACAATGCGTTTTTATGAGGGGATTCATTCGACACCCTTCAGGAAAGAACAGACGTTCAGCATAGTTAGCTGAAGTCTACCTACCACTTGCTCTGGTTTGTTACGTTGTTGAATATTCTTTCCTTTATATTCTTTGAAATGTTTTGAATTAAAATAGCTTACTCAAGGTCACTGAAGGCATATGGTCCTGCTCAAAACTTTAAACAAAACATTAGTTTTTACAACCTTTTGTAATTTGGTATTGTATACAACATGGTTATGTGCAGAGTTTCTGTAATCTTTTCAGTGGGTGACAGAAATATGAGAAGCAAATTTATAAGCCCTTTAGTGAAGCATTTAATCAATTTCATGCATAGGAAATAACTCTGATTGCTTGGCTTTATCAATCTTTCTCTGGAGCAGAACTCCCCGCAACGTCATCTCCAAACACTGGCTGGGAGGAGGCGGGGGAAGGAGGGGAGTTGGCAGCAGGAGCCTTGCCAGGCACACAAAATGTCAGGGACTTCTGAAGTTGGCCAAGTGGGGTTGCCAGCATCTATGCAGTCATCTGGGGGATGTTAATCTATTGCAGAGTGAAAGTACCGGTCTAATGTTTAGAGGAAGTCTTCAAGATCTCTTACTGCAGAGTTACTCATTAAACACCCCTTTCCCAGAGTGACTCTTTCCATCGTATGCAGAAATGCAGATCGAGTTCCAGTTTTTAGGAAGCTGTTTCATGGTGATCGCATGAAAACTTACTTCTGATTTTAGGAGTTCCAGGGCGGTGGCCAAAGATAACTGAGACCCACAAAAGTACCTTGTTACAAGTAGAAATATTTTATAATTTTTAGAAATAGGTTCGCTATCCCTAAGGGCTCATGCCTGCATCATCTTTTTAACAACACGTTTATTGGGAATTGGATGATGGTTTGCAGGGAAAATTAGTTTTCTATCCACAACTCCTACACGTTCGGTTTCTTAGCATTGACGCACTCGCCAACATGTAGCTTTACCCATCCCACGTCCTACCTGCATCTTCTGATTCTCTTCTGAATTGCTTAAAAGATTAATCCAGCTCTTGTGGGTTAATATTTTATTTTCTGTCATGGACTGGAGTTTTTCTTATAGACATGTTACCCCCAATACTATCCATTTCTTAAGTGAAGTAGTCTTAAGGGAACAAAAGACACTCTTATTGATAATGATTATCTACTAAGTGATATTAAAATTTTATTAACTCTATCTTGTCCTCCAAAATTGGAACTGATATAAAGGTACTGTGGACAGACTTTCTAATTTAGAAAATCATTTGCTTCTACTTTCTGAATCTAGAAGATTGTTTCAGTGAATAAATATCCATCTAAATGATTCAGTTCAGATTAAAAAATCACTTTCATTGACATACCTTCTCTCAGGAGGATAAGTCATGTGCCCTTTTAGATCTGGCACACTCACGGATTCACCTGCTGTGGCAGTTCAGTGGCATGCCATGGGATATATGTTTACTCTGTCACATGACTTAAGTTGTGGGGCAGCATGATTATATCGAGGGGAGTTACACTGTTATCCTGCACATCATTGGCAACTCTCATGGAAATTGGCCAATGGAGATTTGTTTGTTTTATTCAAATCGTAAGGCCTGAATTAAAATCACGGCCTCATAAATCTTTTTAGTTTTTTAAATGAGTCATTCTCCTTTGCTAAAATTACTCATTTGTTAAATGGGAAGATAAAATTCAGAGAAGTGCATTTTGAAGAACTGGTTTCCTTTACATAAGATTTCATATTTGATAGGAGAAGAGTAAATTAAAACAATTAAATAAAGTACAAATGCATTTTGAAACACACAACAATGAGCATACACTCATTCTCATAACTGTCAAAGCGTTAGAGGACATGCGTGCAGGTCTCCTTGACACCACTTCCCCTGAAGTGAGCAGTCATCAAAGGTGGGCATCTTTTTAGTCTTTTAAAAATCCAACCCCCTATCAACCTGTATATAACATTTTGCACTTGATCTTTTTATTCATAAGCTTTAGAGATCTTACCCTGTGAATAGAAACCTCATTCTTTTTTGTCCGCTTCAAGAATTTCTCATGGTATCTATAAAACTCCCCAACAAGTTGTCACCCTACAATGGGCATGTAGCTTCCTCCCACGGCTTTGCTGTTATAAATAGAATTGTAGTGAATACCCTGGCATGTGCTTACTTATGTGTGCATGCATGCGACTAATATTTACAGTGAAACTGTTGGGTCGTAAGTATATGTGTTTTATGTTTTGATAGGGTCAAATTGTCCAATACTTTTAATTTCAGTAAAATCTCTACTATCATCTTTGACATAACCGTTCCAAAATCTTTTCAAATTTACCAGTCTCTCCAGAAACCAGCATTCTCTGTTGCTCATTTTGCTTCTTCAAAAAGATGAAGCCTGGTCCTAAATGCCTTCCTCACTGAATTTTCCTTTTTTTTTTTTTAGTGTAAGTCGGGACTGGATGATTAGGAATCATGCTGATCTGGCCCACTGGAGCAGCCAAACTTTCAGGGATTGGTGAGCATCAGGTAAAAAAAGAGTCCTTTTAAAATACATTGCAAATGATATCTATTCCAAACATAGAGCATTGGTGCCCCATTCCCAATAATTGTTTCAGCCAGATTGTACATCACAAATAGACTATTATTACTTTATAAGACAGCTAGACAGCTACTTTTCACTCATAGGTTCACCATGTGTCAGAATTGACTAGGCAACTGCTGGCTAATCAGGTTATAGCTCTATTGAAAGTTAGGCTACAGCATCTCTCTATTCAGCTGTACTTAGTGTGGCCCCCAAACCAGGAAATAGCATCCTATGTAACCCACTACTTATCTGTAACTCAGGCCTTAAAATGCAGTGGAGCTAAACCCATATATTAATAACATGTTTAGAATATATATACATATTATAGCAATTCATAGGTAAAAATGATACTTTGGAACCTATTAGTAGAATATGTACTTTCAGCTGATTTTTAAGATAAAAGGGCAGCTTTTATATAGTTTTCTTTATACTTTGCTTGTTCCCCCTGTGACTAATGATATACAATTATGAGTAGCCTAATGGAAGTTAGCAATAGAATCCTGGCTGTGCGCCAAGGTTTTCTTTTCTTGAAATATATATATCACATTCTGGGGTTGAATCTCTAGAATCTCTAAATGTAGCATTCAGAATTTACATCGAATAACAAAATATTAGAAACTACTTATATGTCCAGGAATAGAAGATTGATTACATATATATGGTATATCAGTTTTGAATATATGCGTACATATAACAATATGGGAAATGGTTTTGATACCATCTTAAGAAAAGTTAAAAGACAGAACTCTATGTAAACTCAAAGAACTTTAGCGGTATATAGACTATGAACATACCAGGTGGTAAATTGAGAAGCTATTTTAAATTTTATGATTGTTAGCAAGGCAAGAGGACGTAGGAATGAAAAGCGCTCTATTAGTCATGTTGCTCCTAGTTGAGTGGGAAGGGTTGGACTGAAGGAAAGTGTCTCTTCCTTAACCCTGGAAAGGCAACTAGAGGGGATTCTCCTACATTTTGTGCCGGCAAAGTTTACAAGAGACCTGCGAACCCAACTCGATTCACTGTAGGAGCCTGGTTTAAACAAACAATCAGAAGAGGAACCTGAAGCCTTAGCCAAAGTCAGCCATCCCCATTGTCTCAGTTACTGTCAACACCCTGAGTCTTCTGCTCTTGATAGATTGGTTTTCATTTGGGGACAGAGTCAAGGGACAAAAACAAAAACAAAAAATCAGATAATGTGATTGCCCAGGTGCTTCCTAAGCTTTTGTAGTGATGTGGAAAATGGGAGAATGAACAGAAGGCGGAAATGTGCACAGTGCTTTGCTTTAAAAAATACATATATATTTTTTAATTTTTAATTTGTGAATTTGGCAAAAATGTGCAGATCAGATCAGTGTTCCATGTAATAATTCAGACACATTTTCTTTCATATAACTGGCTGCAGTTCCAGAAATGCACCATCACTCATTCCATTTCCTTCCTGTGCAGCCAATTCCCTTCCTCCTTCTTGCTCACCCTCTGCACTCCGTCCTTGAGTCCAGTGCTGCCCTTGCGAGGTCAAATGGGCGACTCTTCCAAGGTGTGGGTCTCACTAGTGTTGTTGTGCCCCGTGTAGAGCTGTCTGTCGTCTGCCTGACAATTGAGCCATGGGGATGAGTTCATTTCCAGAACGCAAAGGTAACTAAAGGCCATAGTCTTGGGGTTTCCCCCAGTTTCCGTGTAAGGCTGGCCTTTTTATGATTTTGGGTTTTGGTCCACATTTACTCCCACTTTCTCTAAGACCTAATGTAGTCGTTCTCAGAGAAGAGGTTTGGTGGTGAATTTTGGAGATGCTAGGAGTGCTTGATAGCTCGTGAATTAGAGGTTAAGCTTCAACCACATTTAGGAGACATTTTCAATGGAATATTTTGCAGATTTCTTATCAGAGAATGCTGGAAATCTAGACCATTCAGTCAGGAAGGAATTTGGAGTCATAAACAGTGCTCACCAAGCACCCTCATGACTTTACTAGGAACATGATTTTCTTCTTATGACAGGATGACTGGATAGCAGGAGAGGTATTGCACGTGCGTGCGCAAATGTGTTTTTGTTAGGTGCTGTTAAATCAGCTCCAATTCATGGCAATCACATGAATAACAGCATGAAACATTACCTGGTCTTGTGCCGTCTTTGTGATTGTCCATATGTTTGAGGCCATCGATGTGGCTAGTCTGTCAATTCTTAGTGAGGATTTGCCTCAATTTCAGTGAGCCTCAACTTTGACCGCCATGATGCTCTTTGCTTGCGGCAGATCTTCCCTCAAGGGCATTTTCAAAATCAACTCAAAGAGATCTCACCATCATGGCTTCTAGGAACGTTCGGGTTACATTGCTTCTCGGATGGATTGTACTTGTTTTTCTGGCAGTCTATATTAGATTCAATATTTTCCCCGAGTGTCAGAGTTATAACTCATCAATTGATTTGCTTCTTTGTACTATATATAACTTTTTCATGCTACTGCTAGTGCTTATACTGTAAACTCTATTAAGATATCACTTGAGAATCTGACATATTCTAATTTAGTGAGCCTTCAGTAGGGTCTGAGCTTATATATTCCTAATATGCTCACAGTGGATGCTGATACTGCTGATCCATAGACCACACTTTGAGGACCATACTTTAAAAAAAATCATTTTATTGGGGCCTCATACAACTGTTATCACAATCCATCATCCATCCATCCATCCATCCATCCATCCATCCATCCATCCATCCATCCATGTGTCAAATACATTTGTACATTTTTTGCCCTCATCATTCTCAAAACATTTGCTTTCCACTCGAGCCCTTGGTATCTTAGAACTTGGTAAAAACCAGATTTTCCCACTCCATAGCCAAAGTTTCTGTCTTAGTAAGTAAAAGACTATATATTTTTTTTCAAGCATACTAGATATAAGGGCTCTTTAACATTTTGAAGAGCAAGGATGTCATTTTGAGGACTATGGTGCACCTGACCTAAGTCATGATACGTATTCTCTCACCTCACGTATACGTGAAGGGTGGACAGTGCACAGGGATGACTGAAGCGCACTGAAGCATTTGAATTATGGTGTTGGTGAAGAATATGGAAAATACTACTAGAAGAAAAAAACAATCTGTTTTGGAAGAATAGTCGGAATGCTCCTTAAAAGCAAAGATGGGGAGACTTTGTCTCACCTCCTTTGGGTTTGTGACCAGGAGAGACCAGCCCCTGGCAAGGACATGATGCTTGCTAAAATCAGTGAAAAAGAGGAAGGCCCTTACGGGCCCTTACAGGGAGGGACACGGTGGCTACAAGAGTGGGCTGAAACAGAACAATGGTACAGGGGGCACAGGACCAGATAGTGCTTTGTGCTGTTGTGCATCGGGTCACTGCGAGTCAGAATGGACCCCAGGGCACCAAATAAAAAAAACAAAAAGGCAAATATGATGCTTACGCAAGCACACTGTCTAAGCGATGCCAACCAGATCATAGTTTTCGTTATAAACCTGGTTGATTCAGAACGGTTTGAACCTTTTCTCTTTCCTCGCTGAAACCAGTCACTCCTACTTCCGTGTGACTTCTTTACCTTTTGCCCACTTCCGCTGTTTCCTATGTCTGCTCTGTTAGCTCCTCCCACTCCACCTTCTTCCACACACAAACAGCTTTAGTACATTTGTATTCATGACTACTCTTTTGGGCCTGTTTGGTATCAATGAGTGTCAGGTTTCACATTTTTCAATGGACACGATAAAGACCTTCTCTAAGGTATCAGAAGTAAGTTCTCTCTCAGGCAGGGGTAGGAAACAACTGGCTCACATCAGCTAACCTCACACACATCACCAAAGAGAAGCCGTTCCACCCACCACATTAGCAGTGAGTTAATGAAATATTTGGCTAATTTTTAAGTTGATAATTTTGTCTAGCCCAAGAATTATGTTATAAATATCCAAATGACCTTAAGCAGAAAAGAGCTTCCCTGTTGTTGCTCTAGGGTAATAGTGGTATAGTGGCCTGGTGGGTTGTGCTACTAAGTGCAAGGTCAGTAGTTCAAAACTACTACCTGCTCATTGTGAGAAATATGAGACTTTCTACTTCGGAAAAGAATGACAGTCTTGGAAACGCACAGGGCCAGTTCTAGCCTGTCCTACAGTTCCGCTGTGAGTCACAATGGCCTCCATGGCAGTGAGTTTGAATGTTGAAGGTTCAGACAAGAAGCAGTCTGAAAAATGACATAAAGCTTCACCTTTTCTATCAGTAACCCTAGGTTTAGGCCATGTTTTGTTTTTTTTGGTCAAGTGAGATGCAGCCTCAAGCAAGTTATTTAATCTCCCTGTCCCTCTTTCACCAGTAAGAAAAGGATTTCTTTAAAATATGAAAGAGTACATAAACTTGGGGGAAATTTTATTCTTACCAATTGGGAAATTTATTAGTTTTTAATTTGGCACAGCAAAGTTAAAAACTCAATTGAGCAGGATTTAATGAATAATTCCTTATTTTTATATGGATTTTTCCCATCCACAATACTTTTTATTAATGTCTGCAGAGGATTTGTAAGCATTGATTACTACTATATAATTTTACCTGATATCTATAGATCGATATGTTTATATCTGTTTATGTAGATAAACAGATTGATTGATTGATAGATATAGAAACTGCCCATACTTGTGCAGGAGTCTGATGGGCAACCATAGTTTTCCAGCCTTTAGTGGTTCCTGTGATATGTGAGAATGGCTCTCTTTTATGTTGTGCAAACCTGTTATTGTACATGGAGAGCAATGGGATTTTCAGCATGTTTTGCTTTGTCCCGAAAAAGAAGTCAATGATTAACTCTTCCCATTGGCTGCTATTTCTTGGGCCACCCACCCAAAGGGCTGCAGTGCCATTACTGCAAGGCCTGTCTCAGTTGTCCTATTATCACCTGAAATTTGTTTCCTATAGTGAGTTTCAGACAAGAGATACAGACAGTTTTTTTTTAAGGTTAGCAT